GTCATTACTTTGTAATAAATACTGCAGTAACAATAATAAAAGTTTCAATTTTAAGAGTTAATTACACTAATTAACTCAACAATCTCTCTCTTCTTCTCTCTTTTTTTTCTTCTTGTTTTTCACAATATTCATCTTTCTTGAATCATCTATTCCAACAGATATCTCATTTATTTATTTGAGAATGATTAATATTTAACAACCAACTATCTATATGAGGAAATTAGTTAGGCATATAAAATATAATATGTTCTTCTCTTAAAGAAGTTTTTTATTCGATATTCAGAATTCAAAAGCTGGACCATTTTTATTCAGTGTAACATATATTGGTACCAAATGCCATATATGATAGAACAAGTGGCAAATGACTAGAAGTTATTAGGTACTTGAGAAAATTTCCTATTGAAGCATTCAATTTTGAAGCTGTTAGTGAGTCATTTTTTCTTCAGATAAGAACTCACTACCTGTCCCTACGTTGCTTGCTTCTTTTAAACTCTTTTTCAATACACAAAAAGCAAGCAAAACCATAAAGTTTACATTGCCAAATTGTTTGGTAAGTTTCAGAAAAGACTAAATGTTGTACATGATACACCATGTTGTTGTCACATGACGATAATTATTCAACATTTTGATATTAATAATCATTTTTTAAATGCATAAGCTAAGCTCTCTAATTTTTTTTAGTAGTTATTTTATCATATAATTAAAGGTGTTTTTTGTTTCAAGGATTAGAATTGTATTCTCGAAAATCTTATATTAGAAAAATAATAAACTAACATTTGTTTCAAGTTTTTAAAAATTATTCTAAAGTATTATTTATTCCAAAACATATTTTTATATATAATTTTTGTTTAAATTGTTCTCATGCTTAAATGCTTAATAGGTGAGAATCCAATATTTTCGTAGAAATAACATTTAACTAGTTATAATTTTTCACTTATTCACATTTACTTTAATTTTTATTTTTTTATAATTTTTAAATTAAATAATATTATAAACATTCTTATAAATTTTAGTTTTTAACCAAACACTTACTTTAAAAATATTATTCCTAAAAATAATAATCTTGGAAATAGAATTTTCAAAAATACTATTTTATCACTTGAAATAAATGCACCCTAATATCATTTTTAAAAATAAAATTCTAAGAAATACTATTTTATCACTTGAAACAAATACGCCCCTAATATCATTTATTTAATTAATATTTTCTCACCATAAGTCAACGAACAAATATTGTTAGATTGTTGATTTTGTATGCAAATTTTAGTTTAATAGACAAAAGTCGATATTATTAAATTGTTATTAGGCATGATAACAAAATAGAACGGAAACAAGTTGTTATTTTCCTCGAATCTAAATTTATATCTCAATTAAATATATGTTCATCTCTCTAAACTCAAACAAAGATAAACAATTGAACCAAAAACTCATCTCAAACGAGTTCAAGTATCTCCACCATGTCTCATCTCGCATCAAAATCAATTTTTTTTAATTGAAATAATTCATTGAATTCTAATAAATATTAAAAATAATAATTTAAATTTTTTTTGAAAATCTTTAAACACATATTTTAAATAATAAAATACAAACTAGTATTAATGTATTATCCAAATAACTAATATTCTAAATTATCAATTAGACGGATTCGAAAACTGGTTTGGAGTGGGTATTAGTATCCTCATTATTCGTTTCATACGTATATTTTGAAATCGAAAAAAACTCATGAAACTAAAAACACTATAACCAACTCTACCTTCCATTTTGTAAATAAACCTGAAAATTTATATCTTTTATGAACATGATTAACTTGTGTTCAAAAGAAAAAAAGAACATTGCATAGTTAATTTTCATTTTTCAAACAACTTTTGTTCTCCTTCAAACACAACAGTTGAAGTGTTACATTCACTCTAACACATCCCTTCTGTTCTAGTCTCTAGCTGTTGCTTTAAGATGTGGAAACTTGAACTGAAATCTTAACTATTAGAAAGTGATATATAGCAACAAAAATTTCCATATTTCTAACAACCATTAGGTAAGTGAAGACATATCTAGAATTCCGTAGAAGTCATTTTTTCTCTCTACAATACTACACATTCATTGTGCATAGCTTTTTCATTGAGCTTAAGATTGATAATAGCAAACACATTATTCAACAATGAGGTTTCTTATCTCATTTCTTTGTGTTCTTGTGTTGGTCTCTTATGCAGGTGAGATATAAAGTTTTTTCACTTGTGTATAATGTTCATTGTTCAACTAATTATTTAATTTTTTATGTTTTTTGTATATCATAGTTGCTTATGATCCTTTGGATCCAAATGGAAACATAACAATCAAATGGGATGTTATGTCTTGGACACCGGATGGCTATGTGGTAAGCGCACATTTCAACTTGTTTTTATAAGTTCTCTCAAAAGTCTGATGATTGTTTGTGTTTGTACGTTTTTATGATTATGCGACTTTTTTATGATTAGGCGACTAATGAGTGTTTGTGTTTGTACGTTTTTTATGATCAGACGACTCACGAGTGTTTGTATTTCTACATTTTTTATGATCAGGCGACTGATGAGTGTTTGTGTTTGTGTTTATACGCTTTTTATGATCAGGCGACGGTAACTGTCAACAATTTCCAAATGTTTCGACACATAATGAATCCAGGATGGACGTTAGGATGGACATGGGCTAAGAAAGAAGTTATATGGTCAATGGTAGGAGCTCAAACGACAGAACAAGGAGATTGTTCTAAATTTAAAGGCAACATACCTCATTGTTGCAAGAAAATTCCTACAGTTGTAGACCTTCTACCTGGTGTACCTTACAATCAACAGTTTTCGAACTGTTGTAAAGGTGGAGTTGTTGCGGCTTGGGGGCAAGATCCTTCGCAATCGATATCGGCTTTTCAAGTTAGTGTAGGACAAGGTGGAACCTCAAACAAAACGGTTAAACTTCCAAAGAATTTCACTCTTTTGGCTCCTGGACCTGGTTATACTTGTGGCCCTGCAAAGGTTGTTCCTTCCACAGTTTTTCTTACGACTGATAAGCGCCGAAAGACTCAAGCGTTGAGTAAGTTCTCTAACTAGACAATCTCAAATTTCTCACCATTATACACACATTGTTGTCAATCGTGAATCACAAAAAATAACGATTTGCTCAAATTTTGCTACACAATAGCTCTATAGCGCTGCTATAGCCGCGATTTGACAACATTTTGTAGTAGTGTCGTCATATAGTGGTGATGGATACCCTACAGAATACAGGTTTTAGAGTGAACTTGCTGGCTTGTTAGTAAAGATATCAGGTTCGAATTCCACTATGTACTAACAATTTATGTATTGGGTCCGTCTACACAGAGTTTTGTTGTCTTCAATTGAGACCCTCGCAAGTAGGCGGTGGGATTGGTCATCTGGATTAGTCGGTTCTAGGGCTAGATACCGATTTTTTCATAGACAATTATCAGGTTTACCTTTTGTTATTTTTATTATTATGCAGTGACATGGAATGTTACCTGCACATATTCACAATTTCTAGCAAGAAAGAATCCAAGTTGTTGTGTATCTTTATCATCATTCTACAATGAAACAATCACACCTTGTCCCTCTTGTGCATGTGGCTGCCAAAACAAGAAGAACTGTGTAAAGTAAGTCTTACATATTCAAAGAAAAGAATTTCAAATTTCAAATTATTGCATCGCCGCTAACGATACGTTATGCAGGAGTGACTCAAAAATTCTGAGCATGGTTGGAGCTCACACTCCAAAGAAAGACAATGAACCATTGATGCAATGTACTCATCATATGTGTCCAATTAGGGTTCATTGGCATGTGAAAACTAACTATAAGGACTATTGGCGCGTCAAAATCGCGGTAACAAATTTCAATTACAGGATGAATTATACTCTCTGGAGTCTTGCTATTCAACATCCAAATCTTAACAATGTCACACAAGTTTTCAGCTTCAATTACAAGCCACTTCTTCCCTATGAATCCATAAGTGAGTATCAACATATGATATCAAAGTTTTTACTATAACTCACTAACTATCTATGAAACACGGACACCAGAAACATGATACAAACACTGACACATCGACACTAATAATAATTTGATAAAATGAATAAGCTAAACATAATCACAAATGTAAGTGTCAATTTTAAACACCGACACTTACACGCCTTTTTTCAGAGGTGTTAGTGCTACAGAGATAACTATTTAAGCATGTTATGATTATTTTTCATGCAGATGACACAGGAATGTTCTATGGAATGAAATACTTCAATGATCTACTAATGGAAGCTGGACCAAAGGGAAATATTCAATCAGAAGTATTACTTCAAAAAAACAATAAATTCACATTCAAACAAGGATGGGCATTTCCTCATAAGGTTTACTTCAATGGCGATGAATGCATGCTTCCTCCACCTGATACATACCCTTTTCTCCCTAATTCTTCACCTGCAACCATAGTTACCTTCAAGGCACTCATCTTCTCATTACTTTTACTCCTAGCAGTTTGGTAGAACATTTTGAAGCCATGTATATTTAGAGATAGCGTGCCGATAGATATGAAAAACGCAAATCATTCATCGAAAACACTACGCCAGACTCAAGGGCTGTGATTTCTTTATACACAAACACTAAACGGATGTTAGGGGTGAATCTCAACAATAATTTTGTCTGAAACACGAAATCAATCAAGATGTTATTGCAATGCCATAATTGATAATTCATGTTTAACATTGAAGATGATATTCTATTTGAGCTCTTGTGTGTATTTCTTATAATTACAGCACAAAATACACTATTGATATAAAGCCGAAAAAATACATCATTACTTTCGAAGTTAGAATACACAAAAGTAACTAAAAATAGATAATTCTTTAACTGTCAATGGATGTCATACTCCGGCTTGGTTTGAATTCCGAATTGGCATCCAAAAACGAGTCAAAACTGATCCGAATGCAAATTTTAGACGACGGAGTTGAGAGTTCCAGATGGATACACAATTTAAGAATGTGCATGAAGTACTATTGCCACCAAGGATGCCATTATCAAAGCAAGGAGGGAAACCTCTTGTTTGGAACCAGTATTAGGTAACCATGGATATGCGTCAGGCGGTGGCATCACACAGTTGTCGCCGTTGAAATAGATTCTCCGAGGAAACGCCCAACCTTTTTCGAAAGTAAAAGTTGTGAGATTCTTTTGGAAAAGTAGCTCGGATTGTACATTACCGATTGGACCAGCTTGCATGAGGAAATCATTGTAGAATTTAACTCCATAAAGCAGGGCTGTATCATCTGTTCAAAGAGACATAATAAGTTGTGCCGATGAGTTTTTTTGGTTCTATGGTAAAAATGGAATATTACATAAATTTACTACTCAAGATTTTTGAAAACATTTTCATAATTTTAAGAGTTTTTTTAGATCGACTTATTTGAGCTTATCTACTGACATAAGCCCTTGCAAGACTGTTTGGGAGAGTTTATGAAAAACAACTTATGCCTTGCCCATAAGCTCTTCAGAATGACTTATGAAAACTGCTTATAGCATATATAAAAACGTTTCGACTATTTTATCTTTGGGTATATAAGTAGCTTATACATAAGTACTTGAAATGCTTAATTAAGTTGTTTATCCAAACAAGACATAAGAATAGTTGTCAGGTATACACAAACTTACTTATTGAGCCGTAGGGATTTATTGATTTGTAGTTGAAACTGAAAATTTGAGTAAGATTGTCGAAGTTTGGATGTTGAACAACCAAGTTCCAATTCGAGTGATTCATCCTGTAATTGAAATTAGTAATAGTGACCTTTACGCGCCAATACAACTTGTAGTTGAGCTTAATGTGCCAGTGAACTCGGATTGGACACATATGACTAGTACATCGAACCAAAGGTGTAATATTATTCTTTTCGTGGCTGGAAACAACCGAGGCCAAATGTGACGCTGACGCACTTGGACTGTAACCACACAGAAAAAGAAAATGTGAGTGTATAGTATTAATTTCGGTTAGAATGAAATCCTAGTGTCGGGAGTAATGAAATCTTACTCTACGCAGCTTCCCGTTTGGGCTGAATTCCCTTGGCAGCCGCACGAACATGTCGGGCACGGTACAATAGTATCGTTATAGAAAGATGAAAGAGCGACACAGCAAGTGGGAGTTTTCTGAGCAAGAAACTGTGAATATGTGCATGTCACATTCCATGTCACTGCAAAAATATCGGAGTAATGATAAGGTTTAAGAAAATCATAATATCTTGCTAAGTGCTTAGGAAATGAACATTAACGATGATTAACTTACTAAGTGCTTGAGTCACTCTCTTTTTGTCCGGTGTTATGAATCTAGTAGGTTTCACAAGTTTCGCTGGCCCGCATGTATATCCCGGTCCGGGTGTATTCAAGGTGAAATTCTGCGGCAATCTGACGGTTTTTTTAGAGCTGCCAGCTCTACCAACGCTGAGTTGAAATGCCGAAACAGCGTTTGCTGGATCCTGAGCCCATGAGGTGAGTACACCGCCTTTGCAGCAATTAGCAATTTGTTGATTATAAGGCACTCCGGGAAATAAATCTACGACCGTTGGATTTCCTTTACAGCAATGCGGGATGACTCCCTTAAATTTTGAACAATCTCCTTGTTCAGTTGTCTGCCCTCCCACCATGGCCCATATTACCTCTTTCTTTGCCCATGTCCATCCTAATGACCATCCAGGTGCCGGTATATGACGATACAGTTGGAAGTTGTTCATTGTAACGACAGCCTGCACATTCATATCGTTTCTTAGACATCAACACAAGTAACAAACAAATTCAATTCATTCTAAATGGCCATTGAAATTTCTAATAGGCAATAAAGTAAAAGAATATATTGTCTCGATAAGCCAGCTCAATTGGTAGCTTTGCAAAGACATCAAATTGCAACATTGCGGATTCCAACCCAAAACCCACAACACGCCACTTATTCACCTTTAAGGGGTGAAACTCTCACCATTAGGCTACTAGACCAAAAAATGAGTAAAAGAATGTACTCACAACATAACCATCAGGTGTCCAGTTTATAATATCCCATTTCACCGTGATGTTTCCGTCCGGGTCGAGTGGATCATAAGCTTCTGGAAAAAGAAAAAAACAAATTGAAAACAAGCAACAATAAAGTACAAAACATCATGTTTCCTCCTAAAAACATTGAATCAACACCAAAAGCTGACAGATGTTAATAAAAGGAAAAATATCTAACTTTTTCCTAAGAATCACCAACTAGGTTTTAAATCACAGTCGCGGTTTAGTCACGTTCGTGTTCCTTGATACTAATCTACTTCAGAGAATCGTCTGTAGATTATGCTAATACAACCCTAATCATGGTAACATTAGGCCGGTTTTAAATAACAGTCTGCAACCTCAATTGGGGCTGCAATATAACAGTTTTTCTTGGGGAACCCACAATTCGGCCACAATTGAAGCCACATTTGAGCGCAATTCTCCACAATATCAAAGATTGTGACGCAACGGCTATATAAAACCCTGATACCTTTGTATCATGGAGACAAAAAAAAAACATATGGGCCATCATCTCTAACCATGGTCACATGACAGAGACATCAAAAACCATTACATGCCAATCACAATTAACCCTTTTCTAAAAACCCTTTTCCACCACCTTTTTGAACAACTCGAAAGAACAAAACTTTCCATCAATCTCAAACAAACAGTAACGTTTCACATTCACAACATTAGGAATAAAACACAGAAATGCAATCATGCAAACAAAAAGAGGAAACAGTTTCAGTACCGAAACAAAATAAAACATGACAACCCCATGAAACAAAAACACCGAAACAATAAAAAGTTCAAAACTTTAATGAAAAAAAATCACAAGAAAAAAAGAACCTGTTGAAGTGTAAAAGAAAGTAAACAGAAGGAAGAGAAGAATGCATGGACAATGTTTAAGGAAATGGAAGAACATCATGTTTTGTTTGACGGAGGTTTGTGACAGTCTCTCTCGTTTCAAACAGAAGCAGAATGTTGTCCGATGAAAAGACTTGAAGAGTAAAAACAAAACAAAAAACGAGTAAATAGGAGAGAGGGAGAGAGAGAAAGATACGCGGGGATGCTGCTGAATCAGAAAGAGTGTGTTGTTGTGTACAGTTGGCAATGTAAGTGAAAGTGGTATTTGAATTTGACGTGTAACAAAAATCCATTGGAACTAAGTTACTTACTTATCTAGAAATTTCAACAAACTTTCCTAGTTCAATATATTTGTCTAGGAAGTCGAAAATATCCAAGATAAGTGTATGTAATTATATTTAATTTACTACTAATTTTAAAATTTGTTTAATTTTTTATTTTAGTGTTGTAACTTAATTTGATATTATTTTGGTCTCTTAATTTAAAAAATATTTATATTGATCTCTTAAATTTTTAATATGGTGTTTATCCTAGAATTTGGTAAACAACCGTTGATCCTCTAAATCCTTTAACAGGTTCAGTTACTCACGAGATCGACCAGATTGATCTCAGGACTATTGTGTTCTATTATTTAGAAAGTATGTTTTGATGATAATCTCTTTAAATAAAAAGAATCACTTCGCATGTCGAAGTGAAACTTCTTTATAAAAGTAATGAAATATAAATATTCTAGACTGAGAATTGTAAAGAACGTAAATCACGTAAAGAAACTTCATTGAATGTAAATGACATTGAATATAAAATATGGTGCATAATACGTACATTCTCGTTAACTCTTTTCTCGAACACTGGTACTTTGAGTATTTTGTACAAAGATGTGAACACACTAAATCGAAATACAAAAGCTACAATTTATAGAACTTTGACCCTAACGGTCTCCTAACAAACTAATGCCACGTTTCCACTGGCATGTCCTCGACAATCCAAGAGATTCCATGCGTCCTTCTGGATAAGAATTAATATTCGAATTCAAACCCTTCGCTATCCGTCTTGAGCACCAAAACCAATAAAATCTGATAACAGTCGAAGTATAAAATCTTAAACCATGTTTCGAATAATAATTTTATTTCGCAATTCGAATTATAAACTATCCATCAATCTCTTAACGAATTTCGAATTCGAATCTTCATGGATTTTAACAAACAAAATAGTCAAACAATTCTCTAAGTATATTCAGACCATTGACTCAACTCAATTTCTCCTTAGTCGAAATTTCCAACCAATAAACTGCCCCCGAGAAATATTCATTTTGAAACCAGAAATGCATATTTTTTGTAATCTCCTCAAATTTCAACCTTCTGAATAACTCATCAACCGCTTCAACTATTATGACGTCATTATCATAATGACTTTTGATTCCGAAACGTCTAATCGCAGTATGGGTATCTATAAATCTCATCATTAGCTATGATGAATAGTCTTAACTTTGAAACTTACAAAAATCGTTCATCAAGCAAAGGATCACCTTACACGTGCTCCACTACTCAAAAAGTTCAACTTCTCTCTTTCTATAAAAAACGGGTCAATTTCCCTTCATATAAATTAACACCATTCATTTTATTTTGCAGTTGTCGAAAGAAAACACACCAAGACAGTGAAGCCTACCACGTCTACTGGGTCTGCAAAAGCAACCCCACAACCTCAACCTTCGACAACCAATGCCTCTGAGGAAGCTAAAGAAACACTTAAAGTAAACAAGGTAAAAATTTTGTTACTCTTTTACCTGTTTTATCTTTCGAATTATGTAATTTACTTGTTTACATTTTACTTTGAAGGATAGCGGGAAGCCACCTCTCACTCCCAAGAAAAGAAAACGTACCAATGATGATTCGATCACTGCTACAGAAAAGGCTGATGCAACGCCTTCCAAAGTCACTGCAAAGAAGCTTAAGAAGAAAAAGAAGTTGAAGCCTTCTAGTGCAGGTTCTCCTTCACAGGGAACTTGTACAGTCGAAAAACTTCCCCCCAGACCAAAGAAAAAGAAAGAAAGTTTGTCCTTGAATGTGGCCCATATCTTGGAGCAAATCGAAAGTGACAATTCGAGCCCTAGGGCGAAGGGAGCAAAGGTAATAATCTTCCACTAAAGGAAGCCTTCTATTTACTTTAAATCTTCTCATTGGTGACTAACTCTTCACTTCGCAGGATCAACAACTTCAAGTTACTGAATCTCCAATTCACTATGAAGTACTTCATAGCAGCAGCACTCCATCAACCCATCCTTCCTCAACGAAGGATTCCAATAGGGGCTCCACTACTGACGCTTACATGCAAGATCTTTAGCAAGAAGTCCCAACTTCACCTTATTCCTCCCAAAAGTCAAAGACAAAGGAGTTTGATAATGATCAGGCGGACACTGTTGTCCAAAAAGAACCTAATAACGCAAGCTTAGAAGAAAATCATTCTGATGATTCTTCCTCAAAAGAAAATAGAGGGGTTTCTGATGAAGATGGGGATTCTACGAGCGAAGCCAACAAAAATTTTGTTGAGAAGGAAGATCCACCAAAAGATGATACAACAATGAAAGGCAATGATAAAAACAATGATCAACCCCAACAAATTCCACATCAAATCGACAATCCTGAAGTGGCACGGGCTCAAATGTTCATTCCTATGGTTACTGAAGATACACTTCCTTCACTCGAAGAAATGGAGCTTCTTAGAAAGACTAAGCCTCTGGAGTACATCAAACTTTTCAAAGCTCGAAAAGAGTCACTTGCACAAAGTACTTACCCCAGTCTAACCACTACTTCAAGTGGCACTTTGTCTGGTGAAACGAATGAAGCACTTCTCCAAAAGATTAAGGAAAAAGTCTTTGGGGTCGACTTGTTCTCACTTGCGAAGACGATGCTACTGCTGGCGTCTCTTTGAGGAAGATAATTAACAGGATTGATCTGGTTAATTACCCCCCTACAACAGCTGAGTTTTTGATCGACATGACCACTCTCATCGATAATCTGGAAGCGGTTTTTCTCAGGGATAGGGCTGTTGATTCGAAGATCACAAAAAAACAAACCCTTCAAGAGACTAAGTGGTCCAAGGCCTTCGAATTATCATAGAAAGATGAAAAACGCGAAGAAACTCTCAAGCTTGTCCAAGAGGAACGTGATAAGAATGCTAAATCCATCATGCTCTGGAAGAAACAAATCGAAGAGTTGTAGAAACAAATTTCTCAAGCAGAGGATCATCAGAAAGTTCTCGAAGCCATGAACAACAATGAGGCTAATGAAGAGCTGACTCAAAGTGTTCAATTCATTGATGAAGCTAGATGCTTAGAAGATGAGATCACCTCTCTTAGCACAACCAAAGCTTCGATTGACTGCAGGCTAGGATTCTTGAAGGCGAAGTATGACAAGATGAAGGATAACTTGCCTTTCTGAAATTTGTATTTTAATGTTTTTCTCCATTATGCATTAGCTTTTTCATAAAGCCCTTTTATAATATTTTGACAGAGCCATTTTGTCACCATTTTAATTTATACCATGTTGGTTTCGTTATTTTATTACTTTATTACTCTGTCGTAATTTTTAAATCTTGAAGAAAAGGTTTATATTTTTTCAAATACTTACCGTTAATTTTCAAGACTCTTCGATCTTCTGCCAGTTCTTCGATTTTGTAGGCATTGTTAGTGAATGTTTGAATGATTCGAAAGGGGCCTTCCCAATGTGGGGACCATTTTCCTAATAACTTATTCTTTCGATCCATTGGCAAAATCACTTCCAAACTAAATCATCATTTGAGAAGACTTTGACCTTAACTCTCTTATTATATGCTCTGGCTACTCTTTCTTTTTATCTTCTTAGAACTTCCAAAGCATGTAACCTTTCTTCATCCAAATCCACCAATTCGTTCATCATCATCTCCCAATAGATATTTATGGGAATTTCGTTTTTCCTTTGGATTCTGACTAACTGTAAGTAAATCTCCACTGGAAAAACTGCATCGTGTCCAAACGTTAGACGAAATAGAGTTGTGTTTGTTGCCTCTTTGGGGGATGTTCGACAAGCCCATAAGATTTGCTCTAAGGTTTTGTGCCAATTCTTTGGCTTTCTGCCCACATGTCTCTTGATTAGCCCAATGATTACCTTATTAGCTGCTTCGACTTGTCCATTTTCTTGTGCATAATAAGGCGTAGATGTTAGTAATTTGAAACCCATATCTTTAGTGAACTCTTGCATCTTTCGACCAGTAAATACTGATCCTTGATATGTTGTAATGGTTTCTGGAATTCCAAATCTATAAACAATATGCCTCTGGATGAATTCGATGATGCTATCTTGATCAACATTCACCAAAGGTATTGCTTCTATCCATTTTGTGAAATAATTTATTCCCACTAAAATGTATTTCTGATTCTTTGAAGATGATGGTATAATTTCATCAATCAAATCCAATGCCTAACCTCTAAAGGTCCATGGCTTGACAATTGAATGTAGTTCACTTGCAAGAGCGTGCTGAATTCCTGCATGAATCTGGCACTCTTGGTATCCTTTGGAAAAATTTATACAATCTTTTAAAATTGTAGGCCAATACATGCCATATCGAAACAAAAGTCACTTCATCTTGTGACCTGCTTGATGTGCTCCACATGCCCCATTATGCATGTTTTCTAGTGCTAAATAAGCTTCACTTTCTCCTGAGCATTTCAACAAGACTCCTTCTGGAGTTTTCTTAAACAATTAGTTGCCTACTAGCACATAACTTAAGGCACGATATTTTACCTTTCTTTCAGTATTTGCGGTTGGATCTTTCAAATAATTTATTATTGGACTTCTCCAATTTGTATCTACTAAGCTATCTATGGCTAATATTTCGAAATGTACTTTGTTTGCATAACCTAGACTTGAATTTTTTAAATCTACTAGAGAAAGTTTAGTAGCTAGTACCTTGCCACGTACTTCGATCAAATCTTCCAATATTTCTTTTGATACTTTATATCCTGAAGCGATATGAGCCAAATCATTTGCTTCTTGATTCTTCAACCTGGGGATGTGCTTGATATCT